CTGAAATTAATTTTATACAAGTGGGGACAGATGGAGCTTTATTTTGATGGTATTTAATCACCACTGGGGTTTTATTTTTTACTATATTACAAAAAAGTACCGAAAATTTGAAAAAAAAACCAAACCTGTTTTCTCTATGAAATGTTATGAAACATTTTATTATCATCCCAAGTTTTTTTGGTAAAATATAAAAGACGGGGTCACAGCGGGTAAATAGACACCAAACATGTCAAGCCTTATTGCGCAATCACAAAAAACTACCACACCCAAAATGTACCATAGGCGACACTTTAAAAGCTTTTACTGCTCATCAGTTTAGTGTTATCAGTGAGTGATGGCCCTAGAATTATTGCTCTCACGTTTGCAGTGATATGTAACGTGGCACAGTGGGCGCAATCGTCATTTTCGCACGTAGGTGCACCCAACACATGTTTGCGTATGTATGTAGGGGGCGGGGGGACTTTTAAGATTTTTTGTTTTGGGGGGGTATGTATGTTTTTTACACTTAACTTTATTGCTATCAAATAGGGGGCTCAGAAGCTTCCACCTACGCAAAACACAAGCGATCGGGCGTCTCTCCCAGCGCCCCACACTAGTGGGGGTGGGGAGGGACGTCTTAAAACGCCCACCGGCATCTACAAGGTTAAAGTTTAGAAGATTAATAAATAATAATTGGAAATTCGTCCGTAAAAGTAGCAGTGCAATTCTTGGCTTTCCTAGAGTAATGATGATCAATGCTGGCAATATACCTAAAGACCTAGGCATTTGGTCATGTGATCTCTTCTTAAGGGCAAGTCCAGACAGTTTTCCTTCTTCTCCTTCCCTGAAAGAAAATCACATTAGCACATTTTCTAGGACTTCAGACAGATGATCAGCCATAAAGGGATCAATATTTTACCAGGAAAAGTCTTGCCACCTATCCCAGCTAGACTGATCATTACATTTTTTTTTTTGTTAGAATTTGAGTATAGGTGCATTTAAAGGCCAACTGAAGCCAACATTTTTTTAGGCCTCATGCACACAAACACTGGTTTTCAAGGCATTTTCTTTTTATGCCTCTCATTGTGGCTTTGTTTTAGCCTATGTGTCTATGCTTATTGTGATGTAGTCATATTTTGGAGCGTGTTTAGGGACATTCTAAAGAAAAACTGTCCTGCTGTCTTTCATAAATCACGCATAAACACGAGTAATTCTTTTTTTACAATGGGTTTTTCTGGCAGAAAAAATTAGCGTAGTTGGGAGTATTGCAATGAACCCATGTGCATGAACCTTTAGTTTTTCTATTATGGGGAAGGGATAGAAACTATTTTAGGTTATTACTAGAGCTGCAACAGTTAATCGATTTAGTCGATTAAAATCGACGATTGAAAACGTTACCAACGTTTTCGATCGTCGATTCGTCGGCTACCGATTGATTTCCCTGTTCGGGGCTCTACACGTGGCCTGAAGCACACTCTGCTCACGTCCCGCTGCGCCCGCCGTGCCCACAGGACGCATA